AAACTCAGTTTTACATCAATATCAGACCTTTTGATCATTTGGGGTATATTTTCCTACAATTGTTTAATTGCCACTAGGGAGAAAACAGCTGTCATTGATCATATGGTAATAGAAGTAAATTTGGTGAGGCTTTTAGATAATTAGTGAAAAAATACTTAGACAGTTTTGTTGGGAATAGTTAACATTTGGAATACAACTTACAGAACCTGACAGTATCTGTCATACCATTCTCCTATTGGAAACTTCCAACGAAAAACATCATCTTTCCAACTTGAAACATACCTTTCAGCCCAAAGAAGGCTTTTTGTGGGAAGAATCGAAATTAATATAATTATCAAATATCAATTTATTTTTAAGAAGAAGAAAGAGGGATGTGTAGAGCTTTCCCATGATTTAAAAATGACCTTGAGGACCATGAGTAATTGAGAAGCAGCTGGAATCTTTCGTGCCAGCAAGAGCTTTTGAAAGGAACAGAATCTATGAAAATTTAAAGCAAAATGTTCAAGTGGAAAAGTTATGAATTGTTACAGAGAGCTTTGTTTTGTGCACAAAAGTCCATTTGACTGCGCTTTTAAGTGTGTAATTCACATTTTCAAAGCATAAAATAGTATTTGGATATGGCTTTTTGCAGAATGATATTCTTCAAATCTTATGGGAATTGTTAAGATATAAAGTAAAAAGGAAATATTGTATTATGACAGCTTATCTCTTTTGTTAAGCATTTATTTAATCTCACTATCATATTTTGAGTGAACTCTGAATAGTAAAAAGGTTCATGGTTCTGGCACTGTGACAGTTTTCAGAGTTGAGATTCTCAAGCTAAAGGGTGAGAGTGAAGAAAATCAGTGAGTTTTTCTTCTCAGCGGTTCAAGTAAAATTATTTGAAATTGTGAACTTTAGAAATATTTTTTAGCTTGGATTGAATTTGACACATTTACAACTGAATTAGAAATTTCACAAAACTTTTTTCTTTCAACCTAGGAAAACCAGACTCATTAGTTAAAAAAAGAAATCCTTACTATATAATTGAACAGTTAGCATCAGAAGGAAAGGCATGTAATTCATAAAAGTATTTGTAACATCGCCCCTCCACAGGATTGGTCAGTTAGTGTGACCTATTTATCCTTGACACATGCCCAGACTCCAGAATCCCATGCTGGGAAAATCTTTCCGGGTCCCCGGGTGCTTCCCTTGATCTGCAGATGTCAAAGGCAGTAACAGAAGTTTCATAGACAGTGGGCACAGTTCCACATGGAAGACTCCTGCAGCATCGGTGGAGCCATCAGCGCACTGAGTCTCCCCTGCACACCTGGGGGAAGTGCATGACAATTTGCCACTTTATTCATTGTTACTTCCAACTTTTCCTTGGTTCACAAATAAAAGGCAGGAAGGAGGAAGCAAAAGAAGAGATTGTTTTCTGCATGCCTTTTAAAGATCAGCAGAAAACAAAAATCTATAACTTATTAATCTGTCTTGGAGTTTTCTAGGTTCCTTATGTAATGGATAGGAATAAGATCCACAGTGTATCTGAAACTTTAGGATATTAGTGTTTCTGAATCCAGAATTTCTTGGGTTTGAGACCTGTGATTTGGTGCTGATACCCTCTGTTCCTGACACCTGGGGCAGAGGCTGGGGCAGCACCTGGAATCAAAACTCATCACCACTCCTACATCAATGCATGGATAGATGTTCACCTCACAGATGAGAGATATAGGTCAAATTTTTCCTTGGGTAAAAAAGTTGGATTTGCCTTTTGCCACAAAATGGGATAAGAAGTGCATTTCTTGGAGTATTTGGGGTTTGGGAATTGTGGGTAAGGGATGAAGTCTTGCCATACTCTTATTTTGTTTTGAAACTGCTTTTCCCTGGAAGACTTTTCCTTTATGATACACTCATAAAACATGAAGAGTTGATCTGGGGCTGGCATAATGGCAGCATTTCTGAGTTTCAGGCTCCACTCTTATGTTACACTAGCAAAGACTTTCTGGATTTAGTGCTGTATTGTTTTTGTAGCAATGTAGATCAAAACAACTGGTTTCCCCAGCATATTTGGGCCCCAGGTTTCTCCTACAAGTTACAGGTATCTCATTTGATCTATAAGAAGTTTCCTGGAAACATTATTTCCTAATTTTTTAATGGAAAAAACATAATGGTTTTTGCTAATCATTTTCTCAAGTTTAATTTTGACCACCTTTGATTTTATGGTGTCTAGGTTAAATTTGTCATTGTTGTTTTGTTGATTTGGGAAATTTTCTATTTGATGTATTGCTAGAAGTTTTTGTTTTATCCCTCAGAACATCTTTCAAAATTCCCGTGTTTTAGGCAGTAGAAGACAAGCAGATCATGTCAGCTCCCCTCTCCCAAGAAAAACTAGCATGGCATTGACATAACCACTTTTATGCTGGCAACATTGATAACTACTTAAAAGTTTTGAATAAAATCTGATTAATATTAAGAATAAAAAGAATGAAATTTTATTCTTAGTTTAGCAACAGACTCTAAGAAACTTTTATGGTTTCTTCTAAAAATAGAATATGACCACAATGAACTTTTAAGGTGTGTTGTAAGTTAGCATTTACCAAGGGCATGGAACTCTGCCGGGGAAACATCAGAGTGAAAGTCATTGAGAGGAACTTCTAGCACATTTGTTAGGCTGTAACAGGACAAGTCTCTGAGGGTGGAGTGACCCCCTTTCCCATCAGGACAGCTTTCTGATTTCCCAGCGCAGAGTCTGGCTGGATGGACGGGGCTGGACACCTCTAAGTCACTAGAAATGTTTATAAACAGCAGAAAGGCAAACAGAACATTTCTACATTCTTGTCCTTTGGGAAGGATTAGAAGCCATGGATCCCTTCCAGAATGTAATGGATTTGGATGGGCTTCACACCCTGGTGATTTCTTGTTATATTTTCTGTGTAACCTTGCCCTGGAGGAGAACTAGAAGATCCACTGCAAGTTTCAGCAAGGAAGTCAAGCCTGTGGCTGTCATCACAGAAACTTGTTTGCCAACAAATGAGTGTTTGGAGGGTAAAATGATCCCTTCCTCCTTTAGTCCCTTCCTTCCCCAAATGTGATAGATAGACCCAAACTCAAGTTCCAGCTCAATAAAGGAGCAACTAATTACTTTTCTCACAATTTCATCCAATAAAAGTTACCTGCTAAAGGTTTGAGGCACCTCTTAGACACTAATGAACCAATGAATCAAATCCCTGTGCTCAGGGAACTTACAGTAAAATGGGGAGAGAAAAATCTAGAAATCTGTTGCTGTGAATGTTTTTTTAAACTCTGCTGTACTAGTGTGCAGGTAAAAATTCCAGCCCATACTGGAGGATCGAGTTTTCCTAAATACCAGGAGCTAACCTCCTGGAAAACCTTCAGTGATCATTCCATTATCTACTGAAGCAACCTGAGTCCTCTTGGCTTGGTGTTGGAGGTCCTCAGAATTCCAGGCCAATCTGCCTTTTCAGGGATCGATATTGTCCCTTACATGCCACTCAGTCCAGTTGATCTCTTCAATTCAAGTTAGACGGCTTCTGTGACTTAGATGTGCTCCACCGAAGGGAAAAATGATGTTCCTGTTCTTTTCTTCATGCACGTTTCCCCAAAGCCGGCATTTCCACCAAAAGACCTATCCAGTTATCTTTTATGTACACCTCTTGCCTCCCAAGCTAAATTGTTCTTATCTTTTAGATAAGAACTCTGGCTCATCCTTCGGGTTCCCTTGCAGTACTCTCCGTGTAATGGTGTGGGCTTCGTGAATACGTTTACATTATTGACTATTAAGTGAAAATTCTTGCTTTGCTACTCAGATTGTAACAGTCCAAGTATGTGGATATATTGATTCAAACAATCACAGGTGGAGCTTTTCGTTCTGATTGGTTGTTCAAAGCCAGGATTTATAAACATTACTCCCTTGTTTCCTCCAGTTAGCAGCGTGGGTGTCGGGCTGTTTGCTATCTAAATGCCCCAGGATCTCCCCACCTGTGCCTAGGGTGTTTCTTCCTTTTTCATATTCACTTATCCATCTCTTATCTCCTTGCTTTTTGGATGCTACTACCTAGTATCTTAGTGGACAATTTTTGCCTTGCTTTGTATGAATGACACAGAAACTGCTGACAGCACAGATCAGAATTGTGGATCATGGGATCCATAGAACTTCATGAGATAAGCCCTGGCACTCCAGCTTCTTGGCTGGTGAAAACACTCTTTCAATACCAGAACCATCCCCAAGTTGGATGCTGTGAATGGGTCTAGGGGTAAAGTGGGTGTGGTCATCCCAGAAAGCCCAACTCAAAGGGAATGCAGATCTGCTGAGTGTCTGTAGAGGAGTTAGGCATCTGAAGAAGGCTGGTTGAATTAGGGGAGTTTAAAGTGTCTTCCACACCTCAGCATAATTGAGTCTGTGGGAAAAAGACATTCTGGTTTGAGAATAAGATGTGTGAAACCTCCCAATAGCACGGGCAATCCAGTTCACACTTCCTAAGTAGTTTCTGGGCATTGTCAAAAGCCAAGTTTATTTATTTGTTATATTTCTACAAACAGTTTCCATGTGTGGTCAATCTAAGCAAAATAAAACCAGAATTGTGTTAGCCAGCAGTGCTCCCAGGGAAACTGTGATGATACCTGGAAAGTTTATCCTGGGATCCACCCTGGTGGCACCCCGGGGTCCCTTCCCTGGATTCATGCCAGGGACTGGTCAAGGAACCTCAGTCTGCTCTCTATGAGGACAAGGTTTGAAAAGGCAACTGGGCCCCCTGAGTGCTCTGTCCTGGTTCTGTCCCGGTCCTGTGCTGGAAGAGGTAGCCACTCAGCTCAGTGTCTTGCTTTCTTTTCCATCTATGTAAGAAAATAAATATAAAGAAAGCTCCCTTCCTGCCACCTCTTCCATTAAAAAGGGAGCACCCTTGGGGCTCCCAGACATGGCTGCAGGCTCAGCCCTATCAAATAGTGCAGTTATTTTCATGGAGGTTGAGTGTGTTTATTGGCCTTCTCTCTTTCAGCAATGAGGTTGTGAGGAGTGACCTGAAGAAGCTGCCAGCCCTTCCCACCCAAGCTCTGAAGGAGCACCCCTCCCTGGCCTACTGGTAAGACCCCTGAGTCTTCTTAGGAGCCGGTCCTTCAGGAGTTGCACAAGGCTCAGACAACTGAGCCTTTGTGTGTCTCCTGGCCTCCCCATGTATTGATTAATTTATGTCTTCGGGAACTACTTTCTGCATTTATTTAAATGGTGTGTCGTATAGGAGAGCTCTCCTTTTTTTTTTCCAAAAAAATTAAACCTAGAATTTTGCTTTAGAAGTGTCGCCTTGTCGCCTCGTGGGTGCTGGTAGAGTTTTCTGTTGGAACTGTGTCATTCGATGACAGGAGATGAGGTTTGGGGGTGTGGGAGAAGTACAGGGTTTTCAACGGATGAGAGACTGATTCTTTCCTTTAGCCTCCTCCATGTTTCAATGTTTTTGGTTTAGCCGCTTTGTAACATTATGCCCAAGTTCATCTGTTGGGACCTTAATGACTGAGCTTGAGTTATTCAGGAATCTGAAAGGTTCCCAGATTGCGGTTTGGGCCACAGCTGAGCAGGGCTTGCATTCCTGGGTGGTGTGTTGAAATCCTGGTGGGAGCTTATGCCCTGACCACTGCCCCTAAGGATGGCACTGCTTCTCTGATGTTCCTTCTGACGCCTCCACAGAAATCAATGCAGTTTCTTATAGAATGAAACAAAATAAGAGAAAAACCCAGAATGAGTTTATCCTAATAAGGTATGGCTTGTGACTCACCATGTGCTTCTTCTGTACGCGCTTCCTGAAACACTCAGATTTCTGCATTTCATCTTGCCTATACACTTCTAGGCAGTCAGCTTGTTCAGCCATTCAGTGGCTTTGAGCAATCTTCTGTTAGGATAGATGCATCTCGATGCAGAGCTCATTATGTCTGAGCAATCTGGGAGCAGGATTCAAGGCCCCGAGAACTCTCTTCAGGATACTGGTGTCCCTAACTTCATCTCTCTGAACTGATCTGTTGTCACTCTTCTTTCAGCAACATAGATGCAGATAAATATCAAGCCTTCTATTGTCATCTATGCCCCCAAAGCAAATTCTGTTTAATCTGCAGGGATTTTGCATGTATCTGCTTCTAACCTGACCTTTCGATCTGTGTATATGAACACCAGAAACCCTTGGTTTCTTGGTTCCCGAAACCCTGTTACCCTATTTACAACAGAGTCCGCTAAGCTGTTCACTTCTGGAAAACCCAGGGTGAAGGAGGTAGGGATGCAAGAAGGTGATTCTAGAGACTACTCGTTCTTTTAGAGAGAGATGGATTTCTCACTGAGAGCTATAACGCTAGTGGCTTGTCTGGAGTCAGAATTGCTCATTGCTCTTGACCTCATCCATCATCTCTTTCTTCATTTGCTTCCAAACATAGTTACATCCTAATGCACATTTCAGATCTATGAACTTCTCCCCTATCCCCTTTCTGGATTTTTCTTTTCTGTCTCCACCAGCTGCTCTTTGCTCACATATTATTACATTTAATGCAGAAATGCCTTCCTTCATGCACATGCTTTCTGTCTTTTGTCAACATGAACACCTATCCACCCCTTTAACCGTCTTGCCAGTACATCCCTTATCTCTGTGACCATAAAGGGCTTCATTCAGATCCATAAGCACTCAGACTACTGTCCACTGATAGGGTGGCAGGATGGGGGAAGCTAGGTGACCTCAGCTTCACAGTCCAGCTTATGTCAGTAGCATGTTGTGGTTGGCTAAAGTATCTTCCTATTTATATGAATATGAATATCTAAAAATGAGAAGGAAAATGCCATTCATGAGGCATATAGACACAGAACAAAAGTAGAGACAGAGCTAGTAAAGCAAGCTTATCCAAGTCTTCCCTTCTCTGCCTCAGCATTAGCATCAGTAAGATTGACCATGACCCCTCATGGGTGGAGGGGACCTTTTCCTGCCTGCTGCGGCCACACCGTATCAGGCTGTGCTGATCATTCCTGAACTAAGGACATATATTCACTGTGCTTCTGAGTGCTGCTCCTGCCGGCTTTCACAGATGCAGTGGGCAACCTTCACCTGGAGTCTATCTGCACAGGCCAGGGCAGGATGCCTACGGGTGAACAAAGCAGCAGTTTGAGAGTCGCAGCAGAGTCTATGAACTGCAAGGTTCTAATTATCTCGGTAACTTTCATTACTTCTCTGCTGCTTCAGTTTCTCCATCTGTAAAATGAGGTTAACCCACTGACCTACTCCTCTACAGTGTGTGCCAGGGACACTGAAACTGTTAGCACCTCCCCTGAGACAAGGAACAACATCACTGTCACCATTCTTCCTTCCACCATCCGTGCATTTCCTGCACACCACTGTCTGCAGAGAGGCCATTTAACTAAAGGACACAGTCCAGCCTGTGGCAGGTCACAGTCAGCCTTGGTCAAGGGCTTTTTTCCTCCAGTGTCCTCCAGATAGTACTTTGGGATTTGGTCTCCTCTGGTTCACAGGTTCTTACAGTCATTCCCTATGACTAACAAGTCCCTGCCACAGATCTGAGTATTGGGGAGTCTCTGGACATCAGAACACCCAGCCCTTTGTGGGTTCCTGAAAAAAGTGGGGGGCAGTGGGGGGCAGGATGGGTCCTCAGCCCATGTGAGTGTGTGATAGATTCATGGTTTAAATGGGAACAAAGAAGCTGGAAGAAGTGGAGACAGGAGAGGGAAGCCATTGGTGGCTTCACAGATGGCCCCAGCCAGCAGGAGACACAGGGCAGGTGGGGGAGGACAACAGCTTCTGCAGCTGTCAGGCACTGTGAGACCCCATGTCAGGCCGTTTAGTTAGTAAACAGCGGAACAGCTGCCTGACAGTGCTTTGGACTTTGTTTCATTGAGGTTCTCCTGAGCCATGCTTATGTTCTCAGCACAGCACTGTATGGACTTGCATTACTCCACCTTTTTAACTCTGTCCCAGAGCTACCAAAGCAATGGGCTCCTATCTACATTGAGTTGCTTGACCCTGGATCTAGGGGTTGAGCCACCAAATCCCAGGTCATATGGTAGGAAACATGCCAACACAGCTGTTGCTTTAGAGGGTGGCAGGGAGGAAGCCAGGATGACCCTGGAGCCTCCTGACATAACTCCGGAGGTTTAGTGAGGCTGGGGCCTATTCCTGGAGAGGATGCCCCATGGGAACCATCTGACAGGAGACTTTGTCACATAAGAACCAGAACTTACACAGTGCAGGAGCAGAGGAGAAACATGGCCAAGTTTGCCCCTTTTTGAAAAGCAGGTGCCTAGATCCCAAAGACATGACTCTCCAGCTAAACTAAGGTGTCTCCCTCATAGCTGACCTATCCTCATTCTAGGTACCTATAGGAACACTTTCTTGTGAAGAGTTCTGACTTTCCTCACATTCATGACATTTCAGAATACAAAAATCAAATGATATTAATTAAAGATTAAGATAGTAATTGAAGTCAGATATGATAGTCCCAGCTTCTCAGGAGGCTGAGGCAGGAGGATTACAAGTTCAAGACCAGCTTGTAGTTAGTTAGAAAGACCCTATCTCAAAAAAATAAAAAAGGGGTAAGGAAAAAACTCAGTAGTAGAGTGCCCTGAGTTCAATAACCAGTGGCACCACAAAAAAAAAAACAGTAATTGAAAAATAAGTAAATTATCTGAGGACTTTGGTCATAAACACATAGAATGTGTTACCCCCAAAGATGACCTAACCAAAATTAAAATAGAAAAAGGTGGAAAAAAGAAGGCTTTTGATAAATTCTAGGATAATAAAGTAATAATGAATAATAAAGATCAATCAATACTTACTTGAGGGCACATCCCTGGGATCACCCCCCATCATGGAGCCGTTATGGGAGACAGGAAGGGGTCTCTTTGCCTGTGGTTGGGGAAGGCCGAGGCCGAGAGTAAGAACTCAGGGTCTCCAACCAAGTGGCCAGAACATGGAGTCTGAGTTTTAGGAATTCTCATCAGATGGGATTTGAGGCCTTCTGCCTATAACAATCCTGCCCCCACAGATGGCTCCCACCCGCCATGATTCCCTAGGCTGGTCTGTGATTTCCAAGGCCACAGTGGGAGCAGCCATTGGTCCCACCTCACTGGGTGTCAGAGTCACTTCTTTAAGAAGGCTGTGCTGCTACCTGGACCTGCCTTTTACTCTGTCAAAGAAAAGTTTGGCTGGCTACTGTCACCAAGGAGCCAACTAATCTCTTTGTTATTGTAGAACTAAGGTTTCAAAAGATAAAGGCAGTGCCAGTCTAATTCCAGTAGCTCGCTTGTTGTCTCTCCAGTTTCCCTCTGGGGAGGCCCAAATTCTAAAACTTTCTGTCCTCCTTAGATGCACTGAATCCCTGACCGCTCACTCCGAGGTGGGCCAGGAGCCCTGGATGGGGCCAGTGCCTGTCCTTCCCCGTTCGGCCCTGTGTGGACAGGACTGTAAAGACAAGGAGAGTCAGAAGTGGGACCTGAGGAGTTTAATCCTGATCCATGAGAGGCCTCAGCTCACTGCTCATTTCTCCCATACAATCGTTTCTTGCAAGAAGCCGACCCCCAAGCCTGTGGGATAATCTCATTTCACTGATTAGAAGTTCAAGATAAAGAGAATAGAAGTCTTCTGAGGGGAAAAAGAAAAAACAGAATGTGACTTTTTGTTTGTTTGTTTTTGGTAAATTTATAGCCCAAAGATTTCATTTGGGCTGAGTTTGGAAATGTCACTTCTAAAATGACAAGTCATTTTTCCAGGAGTTGATGGCTCCTTGCAGTGCCTCATGCAGTTGGTCAAGCTCAGAAGTATCTCAGTGAGCAGGATACTCAGCTTCTAATAACAGAACGCTTTTCTTCTAATTCTAGTGAAGACAGAGTAATTGAGCACTACAAGAAGCTGAATGGCCAGACAAGAGGTCAAGCAATCGTGAAGTAAGTGGCCCTTACCAGCACTCATGGAGATTGTGTTTGTGTGTGTTAATATATCACATGTCAAGATTGTTCACTTCTGCTCAGAAAGATGTTATCTCTGGGGGACAATGTTTCAATTGAATTGTCAAGTAAATAATCACTCCCAGAACTTTATCACACATGCCAAAAAAGTATGTATATTGTACCAGTTCTGCCGAATAACCACCCTTGTGTGCGTGTTTGTGTGTGTGTGTGTGTTTGTGTGTGTTGTCTTCCCAGCTACATGAGCATCGTGGAGTCTCTCCCAACCTACGGGGTTCACTATTATGCAGTGAAGGTAAGTAAACTCATTTGGTGAAGATTGCCCATCCTGCCCCAAAACAAAAAGCAAACAACAACAAAACATTCTTTTTCTTTTTAAAAATCTTCCTGGAGTCTCTTAGAGGGCTAGGAGTTGGTAGGGAAGACTTGCCCAGAAAGGCCAGATGCCACAAGAAATCGACATGAATTTTACCCCTAAGGTAGTAAGACTTGATATGTTTTCTCTCAAAAACTCATTTTCCCTTTTAGAAGCAGTAATAAGTCTCTCACTCCTTTTGGTCTCAGAAGAGATCAGGATATGGGTGTCTTAGTGGGAAGACTCCGTCCAATACAAGGAACTGTAGAGAACAGAAACTTTCAGCAGAATCTTGTGTTTTTCTTGGTGGTCAAGTGCTGTGTGGTTAGCTTTCCAAGAGGTGAACTGGGATTATAGGCTGACAAGTGGAGTATGTGACCCTTTAAGAAAACGAGATCTGCTTTCTTGAATATTGTAATGGCAAGTCCAATGGGTAGTGACTCCATTCTAAATTCTCTTTAATTTTAATTTCCATAATGTTCCAGAGTAGGATCTCTTCTTTGAAATAATAAAGATGTCCCTCATGAGACCACAGAGAAGAAAAAATTCCCTTCCTCCTCTTCCTTTCATTTACTCCTACCCAAAATGTTTAGCTGAATCATTGCCCAAAGTTCAACCCAAGAGAGCAGAAAACACTTCTAATCTACAGACAGTCCCACCAGCCAATCAGAGCTCCTCTTGCTGTTTTACCAGTGTCTTTCCTAGTGTTTTCATCCTACAATATTTTTAATTTCTTTAGACTACAACATGTGCCATATTTCATTCATTCTGTGTTATCTATAGCAACTCACATAAAACTTTGTAAGTCATTGCTATTCACAGAACTGCCCATATCTTCTTCTAAACTCAGATAATTGATGGCAAAGACTGTGTTATATTCTGTTACACATTCCCAGAACCAAGCACAGCACCTGGCCCATTATAGATGCTCAGTAAATATTTACTGAGGAAACATACTGAGAATTGAGTTGAGTGGTTGGATGTCTGCATTTCCACAATGGAAACAAGTGTTAGAACTACTGTTGTGGAACATAGAGCTATGAGGTGCCTGTAGGGACCTCATTCCCATCCAACAGTTTGTCTCAAGATCTCTTAAAGCCTGAAGTAGTTAAATTCTTCCTGATGTCCTACCAAGATTCTTCCCACCAATGGGAGTGCTTAGTCCCTCTTCATTATCCTTTCAGAGCTCATGTGACCAGCAAGCACATCCAGCCCTGCCTTTCTCAAGTCATGGGTGACCAGTTCCCCACAAGGAAATTCAGGGTTCGTGAAAAGAGGCTTCAGTGGTGCTGATGTTGACCACGCTAGTGACCGCTACAGAGTCCACTTCCATTTGGCCATCTTGTTACCATAGAGGAGACACATGAATTCAATAGTTCCTGACATGATGATCAGAGGCATTTCACAGGAGTTGATCCGTGAGGGTTTCTCAGCTGTAGGAGTATTCCATGTTGATTTACAGCAGTGGCATTTGCATTCCAGAACAGGAATCAGGAATTTAGGAATTCCTGTGTCGTGTGTTCCCTGGCTTGCTGTTTGTTCTAAGTTTAAGCTCAGTTCTCTCTCCTATCATTAAAAGAAGTTAAGACACTTACTACATCAACTGCCCCCATAAAAGTCTTCTGAATATTGGAAGACTGAGATACAAAGTGTTAAAAGAGTACAGGTGTTTGGCTCTTGAAATCTCAGAGCATAAGCAGATTGCTCGTGGTTTATCAGGGCAGCACCTCTGCCCAAGCAAATGTGACACATGCTCACTGTTTGGTGGCCACGTGATCTCACGGATGCCTGATTATGGTATAATGATAACACTTATCGCGTCAATCTGAGGTCGCAGGGGGCATTCAGTTTCTTCTTGTTCTAGTTTTTGAAACTATGGTTGTGCACAAGTATTCCCAGAGGTGTGGGTTTAAGTCAAGCATCTTATTCTACCTTTGAATTTTTCAGCTAAGGGTGTAGCTCAATGGTAGGGCATGTGCCTAGCGTGTATGAGGCCCTGGGTCCCATCACCAGCACCAAAAAAGGAGAAAAAGAAAAAAGAAACCACATACCCCTGAAGCTTTAAATAAAATTTCAACATTTCTTGTTCCTTTTATCTTTGTGATTACCTTGAAGTACCTCATGCCCCACAAGTATTTGAAAGCCATCATTCTGATTTTAAGTTTTCAAGACACAGTGGAAGTGTGCTAGGTTTTTCCAGAGATGTGACAAATAGGATAAATCTGGGCGGAAAGCTCCTGGCATGCCCACCATAAGACACTAGCATTTGGGAACATTCCATAGCAACTCAGAATCATCCCTATTTGAATATAGAATTGCAACTGCTACCAAGGTGACAAGAGCTCTCTTTAATGAATAAACAGACTTGATGTTTCTGATTTTGTTACCTTGAGAGTGTTTCAGCTTCAGTTTTGCTACCTTGTCCAACAGTGCCAGTCCTAAGACCCTGTCTGGCACCCAGCTGTCTTCATAGGGGAGCAGGACATTAGAGGTGACCCTTTCTGGCCTGTGCTGCTGTTGGCTTGCTGGGGCTGGGGAGGGTCCTGAGTACAGCTGAGCCAACTCCCTGTTTTGATTTTTTTTTTTTTTTTTTGGACTAGGGATTAAACTCAGGGGCACTTGACCCCTGAGCCATATCCCCAGACTCTTTTGTATTTTATTTAGAGACAGGGTCTCACTGAGTTGCTTAGTGCTTCACTTTTGCTAAGGCTGGCTTTGAACTCAGGATCCTCCTGCCTCGGCCTCCTGAGCCTCTGGATTACAGGCATTCACCACTGTGCCCAGCTGCTTTGATTTCTTAATCCTTAAAAAAGAGAGGAGTCCCTTTCATAGTCTCCATAGTCTCTAGCTGATGGTTGATGACAGTTTCTCGGCTTCAGAAGATAGTTCACTTTATTGGAATGTTCCACATCTCTCAGGTTTTTATTCCAGGGGCCCAACCTGGAAGACCCGCAGTCTTAGAAGGAAAAAAAAAAAAAAAAAAAGAGAAAGAGAACAGAGCATTTGCTCCTTAAAGATAAGGGGAGAGATGCTGGTAGAGATGTACTGCAGGTTAGAAACAGAGCCAATTCCCCAGCCCAGGGCTCCCATCACCCTGTTTATAAAACTGAGCATCTTGCTATGAGGGACACATCTGTTAACTTCCAAGGAAATTGCATTTTCCCTTGTTTCAGCTGAGCCGGGAGAATCTCCTCTTGATCTATGTATCTTTTGCAGCCATATTTACCTGTACTCCCTTTGATGTCCTAGGACAAGCAGGGGATACCATGGTGGCTGGGACTAAGCTACAAAGGAATCTTCCAGTATGACTACCATGATAAAGTGAAGCCAAGGAAGGTAAGCGTGGTCTTCTTTGTTGGCTTTAAGCTCTCATTTTGAGAGAGAAACAGGGAAAAAGTGAGTTCAAATGCTAACAACGTGAGGCCCACAGGCTTGCCAACCCCTTGCTAATTTAAGTGTATACAAATTACTCCACAATAACCCTGAGTTCCCTGGGTAAATATTTTTTCTCCCTGTCTCTAAGGAAACCTAAGCTGTTATAATTATTTAAGGTAAGATGCCTGGCTCAGTTCTCTCAGAGCAGATGGGAGACTGTTGTGTTCCTTACTTTCTTGGGGCTGTATACTCTGAGTAAAGGAAAGACCATCTATTTTGGATCCTGAGGTCAATCTGAGTTCTCTCCAAAGATTTTTAGGTCAGGGTAGAGGAAAGTGGATGTACTAAAAAACCCGCTGGTCTCAGGTAAGGAAGAGGAGAATAAAGAGATGAGCAAGAGGAGGTCCTGAAAATCCAGAGGCTCTCCTGGGGCTTAGAGGAAGTGGTCAGAAAATAAGGTTATTTGCCAAAAGAGAGAGAAAGGGAAACAGAGAAGGAAAGTCCTTGGAAACATAAGACAGAACCCTGCAAGGGGCACCATATTTGAATTGTCTGTTTTCGTTTACACACATTTTTTAGACCAGAACAAATTGAAAAATTATAATGGAAAAATATCTTTGAGGCAAGTGCTGTCATTCAGAATCTCTAGCGGAGAATGATAGAGAGATGGTATTTAGTTCTAACCCTGAAATACATATTAAAAATCTATCAAAACCACACTTGCTCTGAAAGACAGAAAAAGAGAGAGAACACAAGAGCAGGATTGGTCCATTATGTCATTGTGGTTTGAATGACAATCCATAAATAGGATTGAAACCCACACAACACATCTGAGCTTATCATACCCGAGCCAGTTAACGAGGTCTGTCCTTACCAACTTTGTTAAATTAATAGGGAAAATGGTCCTGGGTTGGGGAGGATTTTTACTCAATTGATCAGTAATTCCCTGAAGTTCTAAGTAGATCCTGAGAAGGGATGGAGGAATTATTCAGGGGGATATATTGTTTTGTGGCTACCTCTAAAACCTCTGCTTCTATTTATTTGTGCAAAACAAACTATACCCTTTGTTCCTATGTTTTTCCTCTCTTTTTTTTTTTTTTTTTCATTCACAGGGTCTGTATTTCTGTTTCTCTGTGCTTGTTACCACGTGGCCTTTATAATTTTCTATGCTTTTTCTTGTCGAATTTCCTCTTTGCTTCTTCCTCCCTCTCCAACTTGCCTGATTTTCCGCTTGCAAAAGCTGAGAACACTCCCAGGGCCTTTAACGAAGTCCTGCTTGCATAGTGTATGCACCTTTCTTTTGCCCACATTGGAAGACCAAGGCCAGCATGGATAATTGGGATCCACAGCAGAGTTCATTAAAATCTAGGGTTGGAGTCTCTCCCTCATACTAACAAGTATTCAGATTTTTTCATTCAGTGTATGAATATATTTAAATGCTCTTTATTTTTCTAATTATGTTTCTTTGGTGAGGGGGGTTACCAGAGATTGAACTAATGGGGCATTTGACCCCTGAGCCACATCTCCAGCCCTAGTTTGTATTTTATTTAGAGACAAGGTCTCTGAGTTGCTTAGCACCTCACTAAATTGCTGAGCTGGCTTTGAACTTGCCATCTTCCTACCTCAACCTCCCAAGCCACTGGGATTACAGGCATGTGTCACCACCTGGTTCTAATTATGTTTCTAATGAAGATTGAAAATGTAATGAAAGAGCACTTGATACATGTCAAACACAAGGTGGGACTTATAGCAAGGGTTCGATAAATTGTAACTATTAGTATAAGAGTGGAAAACAGATTTTGAGATAAGAGGCCAAAGGTATAAATAATCAGCCACTGAATAAGAGAATTTACAATAACTTAAGACACTTTCTCAGGTCAGTGAATTAAAAATATTAAAAGGTCAACATATTTTTCTAGGGCATTGGCTCCAACTCAGGCTGAATTGTTATTTGAAATAACTTATGTTTCTGTGGCCTTTGAGGAAGAAATTGGAAATTTCAAGCCTATTACTAGTTGAAGGAAAACTGAGCTATGGAGCTTTCAGGGCCATTCATTCATTCATTCAAAAATGGTCACTGCATACTTACCTCTTGCATGCCAAGCACAGAACCAAAGAAGACACAAATCTAGTCTTCCAGTCCTGCCCAGTGTATCAAGGAGAGGGCCATGTGATAATTCAGCCAGAGACTGATAGTCTGTTTGCTGTTACTAGTAACACAATACCAGGGACTGGATAACTTTACAAAGAAAAGAGGTTTATTTGGGCTCACAGTTCTCGAGGTCCAAGGTCAAGAGCTACATGCAATGAAGCCCTTCTTATTAGCAGCATCCCTGGGCAGCACAGGGCATCCTCACATGGCAAGAGATAAGGAATGTGTGTGCATATGTATATGCATGCATGAGTGTGTGTGTGTGTGTGTGTGTGTGTGTGTGTGTGTTCTGGTATCTCCCTCTTCTTACAAAGCTACTAGAATGCAATCATGGGAACTCCACCTTGATACTGTTATGTGATCCTAGCCATTTCCCAAATGTGACCTCTAAACACCATGGTCAGAAGTTTCTGCCCTCTTAATATCTCACAGTGGGGTGAGGTATTTCAACATATGAATCCTTGAAGGACACACTTCATCCATAGCAATGTCTTGGTGCCATATAGAAGCCTGTGTGAGGTGGGTGGTAAATTAAGAGAGTATCCACTTGGGTGTAAGGAGAGAGAATAGCCTTCACTGAAGAAGCAAAGGTGAGCTGGTCTTAAAGGGCTGTGAGTGTTTTGCAGATGGACAATAGGACTGGGGAGGGGGGTGTGAGAGAGTGGCCAGTATGCAGGGACGCTCCGTGTGGGGCAGCAGGGTACAAGAGCATCCAGAGCACACACAGGGCTGGAACACAGGCTGAGGAAGAAGCTGGAGGGGAGGCTGAGAGCCTGCAGTGGCCAGCTCTGGAGGCCTCAAAGGTTTTGCTAAGACAACTTCTCCCTCTCTCAGCAGCAGGAGCCACAGAATAGTATGTGGAGCCGAGGAGAATACCATATCGGATTTTCATTGATATAGAAGTGCCCATCTGCTGTGTGGAGGATGGCTTGGAGGAACACAGGACTTGGAAGCCAGGATTGTTGGGGACTGGGGTTGACTCTCAATAATAGGGATCGAGGAGGAAAGATTCATAGGAGAGGTCTAGAAGGCAGATGTTATGGTCAACTCTGGAGGGAGGGATGGCAGTAAGAGAAGAGGGTAACCTACAGGGACTGTTAGGCTTCTTAGTCAGCCAAGGCATGGAACCTTGAGGGAGGGAGACCTGGGAGTGGTGGATGGATGCAGTAGGACATGCACAGTTTGAGCTTTAACAGGCAGGCCATCAGGGTCAGGTACATTCACTTGGAGCTCAGGAGACTCAAGAATTTCCAAAGCATTGTTGAACCAGAGACTGAACAGGGAGAGGAAACGTAGGAGCAGTCACTCCCACCCCCGACAAGTCACCATTGACTGTGCATTAAAGATTTCATCCCCTTCTCATGATGATCCCTGGGAGACAGAGAGGCAGGTCTTGATTGTGTGGGTCCTGAAGCTTGCACATTAGCAGGGGGCCCTCTTTGACAAACAAATCTATACTCAAGTTAAGATCAGGACTTTGAAAGATCCTTGAAAGGAAGTCCCAGTTTCATTAGTTTCAAGGAGTACCCACCTCTGCTAACACGTGGATGCCATTTAAAAACAAAGACTCAACCAGAGACATGGTTATGAAGTAGCAGCTGCCAGTAGAGCTGGGCATGGTGCCTTTTTCTTCTTCTCACACCCAGCATCATCACCATCATGAAAGGCCATATCTGTTACACTAGGACACATGAGAGGCTCTGAGCCCATAGGGCATGCAGCCTGGTTCCAGAACTGGACTCTAAGGAGGCATATAGTGAGGAAGAGCAACGCACATTCACCTAGGAAGCACCACACTCCATCTGGTGCCTCCTAACTGTGGTTATGTCAGCAGTTCATGGGAGACTGCTCTAGTGTCTGGGTGCCTCCTCCAGTCTTGTCCACTCACCTCTGACCCTGCAGCAGAGAAGGTAGAAAGCCTCCCAGTGATTCTGGTGTGCCGCTGGAGATGGGGACCATCACTCATGGCCACCCATGCTTACTTTGCACACTCAGACTTGGGGAAAGTCAGCTAAGCTCAGAAGGTGTGGCTCCAGTGTCCTGCACACTGAGAGCTGGCAAGTTCCCAAGCATAGATTTGAGGCTTAGTAAGCTGTTTGTGAGGGACTCTTAATGAGCTGCATGTGAAGGATGCCCTCCAGGTGGCACCACTCCCTCCTGGCACAGGGGCCAGGCCACCTCCAGCCTCCGGGGATGCTCGGGAATCAGCAGCACCCAGTTTTGAGCACCTGGAGAGAAGTCTGTGGTAACAGCTGCATCTGTAGCCCAGGAAGCTGCTCTCGCCCAGGGGCAGACAGACCTTTGCTGACACTCTGACCCAGTTACAGCAGCTCTGTCACATGGCACTACAATACTAAGAGCCAACATTCAAGTAGAGGCAGTGTCAGAGCTGAGCCTGCTGCTTCCCTTTGAAGGTCCTGAAGGCATCCTCTGATGTGCACAGCAAACCATTAGCACAGCCAGAGGAGTTCAGCAGCTGCCTGTGAGAATCTGCTCATGCATTTCCAAATGGGCCCCTAAAAAATGGCCCCCAAAAACCACTGAAGTGGGGTAACTGATGGCTCTCCAGAAACGGGTAGGGCTGCTGTAGTCTGGTCCTAGTTGACTGGGATGCAGTTTGCCATTCTAGCTCCAGAGTCTACCTTTCTTCACTGAATCCTCATTATGAAGTTTAGTGGCTTTGGCTTTGGTACAGAAGTACCTCACAGGTGGAACAGAGGAGAGAGAGAGAGCATGCTGCTCCCTCCTGATTGTGTCCTATTATCTGCTGCCTGGATCTTCAAGCTGCCGAGTTTTGTTTAAAATGTTT